AAAAAGGAAAGGCCTTGGACAAAGCGCAGCAACAACTGGAAATTAACTGATATTTTCTGGCTGAATGTGAACACCTATTAAACCGCAGTATAGATACGGATATTAGTACACGTGATAATCAACCCTTTAATTTATTAGTATGGAACATAGTGAGATCAGAGTGCTCAATGATATGTGTGGTCTAACCTTGAAGAGGATCAAAAGCACCGCAAATACAATCCATGAAAACCCATAAACCTAAAAAAAAATAAGGCAAGCAATCAATTGACCATATTATTAAGCAAAAGTCAGTTAGATTATATGGATGAAGAGTAAATAAAGAACGAAAGCTCAGCTGTGAGAACTCTACCGTCAGAGATGTATTATCTCCCTGTAAATGTAGCTTGTATACAGTGCCATATTGAAATATAAAAAACCTTAAACTAAGAATGGTCTCCCCATCAGCCTCCCCCCTAATGTTCGAATATGAGCCTGTTAAGAAAGTAGAGAAGATAAGAAAAAATAACTGAAATAGGCAAGATTGCATTAAGCTAGAAGAAAAATTACTATACCAGCTCCTCATCCCACCAAGCCTCCCAAACTTTCTTCTCCTTTAACTCCAATCCCACCTCTATACAGAAGCCAGTTTGTCCAATCTCTGAAGTCCTCCACCGTCCTTCAATGGGCCAGGAAATGAACTTTTAAAATGGAACAACACAAAAACTTATGTACAGTGTTGAAGCATAGTGAGGTAAACTTACTTTTGCCACTCAAAGCCAGATGGATTAAACAAATATGGTGCAAATAGCCAAGAAATAGCCAAGAACCAGCTGCTAATCGTGAGAAGAATGTACGATAAAGCACATGTGCTAAAGCCATACGCAAGATATACAACCAACAAAAGTACAATCTCCATTCTGAAAAAGTGAAATAACAATATTTAGAGCTTTCCCCGAGTAGGGATATGCATAATATATTAAAATGCATGCATATGCAAAACGGACATAATTACAAAAGAATAGGATACGAGAGAGAGAGAGAGAGACCAGCTGCTAATCGTGAGAAGAATGTACGATAAAGCACCTGTGCTAAAGCCATACGCAAGATATACAACCAACAAAAGTACAATCTCCATTCTGAAAAAGTGAAATAACAATATTTAGAGCTTTCCCCGAGTAGGGATATGCATAATATATTAAAATGCATGCATATGCAAAACGGACATAATTACAAAAGAATAGGATACGAGAGAGAGAGAGAGACCCCTTGGCAAAATGACTGCGGGCATAGAGCCTATAGTTCTCAGAAAACTTAATGTGTCGAACAACAAAGCCCCTACCAGTCGCTTGNGCTTGATACTGTTGAAAATAATAAAAGTTATTTGCTAAGCTAATGTTAGTTAGAGTAACATGTGCATATAGAGCTTAATAGCAAACATACCCTAGCTCCACCATGAAGAATAGTCCGTCCAAAGTAATGTGTTCTTGTGCCCAAAGAGGAAGTGAAAAACACAGTACAAAGTTGAAACTGCATTGTTACAAAACTAACAATTGCTTGTAGTGAAAGAATAAAAGGAGCCAATAAGAGAAATGCATGTGATTTTGTAAACAATATAGTCTCAGGAAAAAGATAGAAGAGCAAACTCATCAATAAGCACATAAAAGAAACATGAAAGTCACAAACATGAAAAGGTTCACTAAATTTACATACTTTACATGAGATCTTGAATAACATTTTATATTTTTAATATGTTCACAAATTTTTCCAATACATTTACTAAGTATGTAGTAATATATTTTCAATACATTTACTAATTAAATGCATTTATAAAATTTTTATTTCTTAATATAAATTTCTTAATACTCCCTCTGTCCATTATTTTTCTTCACAAGTTTTTGTGAGATGACATTGGCTTTCCTAAAATACCCTGGACCCAACACTCTCTATCTACTACTCTACGCCATCAGCCCATCTCCTAGAACTTGAAGCTCGTTCCATCCGGCCATGCCCCCATGAATCGCGACTCCAGGGCATACTCCGCCAACGGAATAGCCGTCGCTGCTGACCACCATCACCACAGACTCGAATTAGAGTCCTTAGATCTGACAGAAAGCCATCACAGCTTAAATCCTCACATCAAAAATATCCGTCAACGCTTACACCCTTAGATCCATCCAAATCAAGCATGGGTTACACCGTCCAGTGAGATCCAAAGGAGATGACACCACCCGACAGTGCAGCTCCGTCGGAGATGTGATGCCATGCTACGCCTCCGGTCCTGCTCAAAAGGGGAGGAGGACGAGTTGAAATAAAGAAGATGACGAGGACTAAAGAGGATGTTGGGTGGAAGAAGACAAGTTTGGGGCAGGGGGAATAGTTGAACAGATGATGATGATGAGAATGTTAGAGGGAAGAACTGAAAAGGCCGAAATGCAAAGAAGATGTGGCTATGCAAAATGGGCAGGGGAGGGGGGCGGGGGAAGAAACATTGTCAGACATGCTAATAGAGTCATGTCTGACAATGTTTAAGCTTTGA